GAGCTTCTGGAGCTGTTCTAGGGTGTATGGGGTTTGGGGTTTAGGGTCTAGGGTCTAGGGTCTAGGGTCTAGGGTCTAGGGTCTAGGTTTAGGGTTTAGGGTTGGGGTTGGTTAGTCCTTGCTGAAAAAGTCTTGGTTAGGGTTTAAGGTTCAGGGTTTAGTCTCACAGAGACGGCTTTTGGGGCTGAGATTGCTGCTGTAAGGTTTCGGGTTTAGGGTGTGTAGTTTGGGGGGGCGATTTAGGGTTTCGGGCTTTGCAGTTTTGGTAGGGTTTGGTGTATCAGGCTTCAAGCGTTCGGGATTTAGGATATCAGGATGTTTAATGGTTGAGGGGAAGCGATTGCACAAGTCCCCATGCAAACATAGTCGTTAAGGGTTTGAGTTGACGGCCTGGGGGTTTGAGGGTTTTGTGTGTAGGGTTCCCAGAGAGCCGAATACCCCGTCATCAAAGAATATGGCTTGAACCATCATGTAAACCATGATAAACCCTAAACCCTAAACCTTATTCCTTTCACTTCTTTGCAGACCTCGAACCATATGCCTCGCCTGGATTGTCCGAGTGTGAGCGCCGAAACCTTATTCCTTAAGGGGTATTGGGGTCTCTGGGTTCTTTGCGTGTCGAGATTTAGGAAGTCCCCAGGTTTCAGATGCTTGGCTTCTGGGGTGTATTTTTGTTTTAGGGTTCAGGGTTTATCGGTTTTAGAGTTCAGGGTTTAGGGCTGAAGGTGTAGAACAGAACCAGGCGGCATGTAGAAGCCTGTGCAAAAAATGTGTAGCACAGCTTCTGGGACCTGCGGGGGTGCGTGGTGCTGCGGCTCAGATCCTGTATGTGGCCTAGGCCTTCGCGAAGCCCTAAACCGTCAGCCTTTGCACTGACTACTACTTAGATAGCCAACCGCAGAACTTAATTTTTGTTGACCATACATATATATGTATATGTGACCGATGGTAGACAGTTTTAGCTTTTTTTTTTTGGCGGGGGGGGGGCACGGTTGTTGAAGAAGAGAGTAAGTAAACCCTGCTGAAGTCTTGATGAACCCTGCTAAGACTAAAAAACCCTAAACCCTATAAACCCTAAACCCTAAAGCCCCCGTAAGGCCCAATAATCCTCGAGCAGGAATACCTGGAGAAGACATCGACAGAGCTCGCCACACTCGAGGCTCAGGTCAGCTGTTTGGGGACTACCTGTCTGGATCCGAAACCCTCTTAGTTCCCCAATACCCAACCTTTAAAAACTTTTTGGGTTCTTATAATGTAGTAGTAATCTGAAAGTTTAACCTTTCATTTCCCTGGCCTATTGGAGAAGTAAGCCCTAGTTCAGGGTTGAGCCGCCTCATAACCTACTGCTATCTCGTCGGGTTTGGGGCTACAGGAAGGGTGTATAGTTTAGGCTGTAGGGATGCTATGATCTGATTGCTCTGGTCTCGTCGCACCAAGCATCTTCAGCCAGCGCTACATGCCATAGTTCCTAAGCCCCACAAACTATAGACCAAAGATCACAAGGTTCATAAGGGGCACTGCAGGCCTCCTTCGCTCGAGTTTAGTGTCGGGCTCATGAAGCGACCTGCTCAAGGGTTCAGGTGTTCAGGGTTTAGGGGTTTAGAGGTTTAGGGTTTAGAGGTTTAGGGTTTAGGGGTTTAGGGGTTTGGGGTTTTGGCCGACTTCCCAGCTGATCATCAGAGCCTGGGTTGAAAAAAGGTATAGTGTAATGTGTTTTATGGTGATGCCTTGAGAAGGACAGCAAATAACCTTTAACCCTTGCAGGCCACTATAACCTGTTTGCAATGTAATCCCAAAGGTTAGCCTTCAGAATTCCTAGGATACTGGACAAGTAAATATTGGGGTGTCTTGCATGCTGACATGTTTCTGCCCTGTGAGGAGGACGAGTTGCAAAGCGCCGCGAAATCCATACAGGCTGGTTCAACCCTAAACCCTAACCCTAAACTCCTAAACCCTAAACCGTCAAGATGCTAGCTGCTAGCGGCTTCAGATCCACCCTAAACCCTAAACCCTAAACCCTAAACCCTAAACCCTAAGTGTGTTGGCTGGAGCTCTAAGATGCCATGCGTCCCGGATGTTTTTGTGATTTCGGGCTCGACCCTAAACCCCAAGCGCGTTACACGGTTTAGAGTTTTGGGGTTTAGGGTTTAGGGTTTAGGAAACTTCACCACAACCCTAAGTCCAATCAGACATAGAATCCCCATTTCTAAGTTTCACTAGAGCTCCCTTAAACCTATAAGCCCTAAACCCCGAAACCCCAAAGCCTAAGCCCCTAACCCCCCCTAAACCCGAAACCCCAAATCTTAAATTCTGAACCCGAAACCTTAAATCCGAAACCCTAAACCTTAAAGCCTAAATCCCAAACCCCTGAAGCATCCCCTGAAGGAGCCCTTTAAAAGGCCCAAAACGAGCCCGGGAAGGACCGGATCGAAGTGCAGCGGCGGGCCATCGAAGCCGCCAGGCTCCGAAATGCGAAGGCCTCGGAGGCGCTGGGGGTTTAGGGTTTAGGGTTTAGGGTTTAGGGTGGTCAGAGTTTTAGGGCTTTTGGGGTTTAGGGTTTTTGGGGTCTAGGGCTTTGGGCTTTAGGGTTTAGGGCTTTTGGGGTTTAGGGCTTTTGGGGTTTAGGGTTTTAGGGTTTAGGGTTCTAGTGTTTAGGGCTTCTGGGGTTTTAGGGTTTGGGGTGCGCGGGCTCTGGGGTTTGGGGGTTTCAGGGCATTTGGGTGTTTTGGGGGTTTGGGACGCGGGGGTTTGGGGTTTGGGGTTCAGGGGTAGGGTTTAGGGTTTGGGGTTTGTGGTTTGGGCTTACAAGATTGATCTGTAGATGCTTGAACAACCCCGTTTCTTGGGGTTACTTAGTAAAGCCCGTATAGTAGACCCTATCGTATCCTGGGGCTGATGCCTTAGACTTACACTCTGAACCATTTGAAAAGCGTTTTCGATTTCGGTGGGTTTTTAGTGTCTTGTACAGATGTTGATGGTGTTTTCCAAGGGTGCTATAAGGGTCTGATGAGTTTGATAAGGTGGGACCCGCACAATACCCTGAAGGCGTCACGGATCAGTTTTACATAGAGGTTATGTAGGCTGCAGGGTAGTTGGTGGGTTAGCTCGCGCTTTCATGGTTTCGGATGTGGACTAAAGAAGGGATCGAGTACTCGATGCTCAGATTCTCTCCCAGCTACTAGCTTACATTACTGCTACCCCAGACCTAAGACCAAGTGTCTAACTACTGGATCCGTTAGACCCTTAGGGAAAGTTGGGATGGCTTTGTTTTGGCCTGGGCTCAGGGTTTACATGGAAGGCTTCAGGATATATGATGGGAAGGTGAAGACTAGTACTGAGAAAAATAGCACGGCACGATATCATGATGTCATGGTGGCTTAATGCTGAAAGCCGGCGGCAAAGCATCCGGCCCCACTCAGAGGAATTGCAGCAGGGATGAGAAGGAGGATGGGAACCGTTTCAGCGCATTTCTCTCTGCGAGTAGATTCTAGTTCAAGTCATCAGATCCTTGACGTCTACCCCTAAACCCTGAACCCCGACACCCGAAGCCCTTACTGCTGTCCGAAAAAGAGGCTTAAACAAAAAACATGAACAACTAAACCCTAGCCTTTCGCCCGAAGCCCTGCATCCCAAGATCCTTGCATGGAGGTCGCCGATCAGACATGGCAGCGCTGCAAGTCTCTGGAACTTCGATTGGAGGCGGCGCGGAGAACTTTGAAGTACAAGTCCGAAATTTGGGCTTTCGGGTTTAGCCCATAAACCCCAAAAGCTCAACTCTACCGTAGCCAAGCAGTTGCGTTGTCGCTTGGTTGGCTCTTTGGAACATAGCTTGTTGGAGCGCTTCATTGGGACGCTAAACGTTTAACTTTGAGGGGGTTCAGAAGTCAGCCAAGCCTGCAGAGGCATCGTATAACCCCTGATGTGGAGTGAAGCACATCCCTGCCGCCTGTGCTACTACTGTAACCCTAAACCCTTAGGCGACGTCTACACCCTGAACCTTTGCCATGCAGGCTTGTCCTTGCGAAGTAGGAGGCAAAAGCCCCGAACCACTTTAAGCCCAGAGCTCTAGTCGAAACCTGAAAACGATTGTTGAACCCTTGAGGCCTGTAGTTCTGACTGGATCTTGAGTATCCCTTTGCTAGCCCAGAATATAGGCCGTAAACCCCCACAAACCTGGACCCAAGCCGAATTTCGAGCCTCAACCTTACCGGCACTACAAAACCCGAAGGCTTCAAATCCTAAATGCAGAGTCTCCGGAGACTGCCATGCGGCAGCCCAAAAAATCCGAAACGCTAAACTTCAAACTCTCAAACCCGAAACCAAAAACCCGGGCAAAGTCCTTGTTCGGGTCGAGGCGAGTGAGGCAGAAGCTGCCCGCTCCGCTCGCGAGGAGCAGGCTGCTATGGATTCAGGACCTAGCGTTTTAATAAGCAGTATTGATGGCAATTTAGGGTTTAGGGTTTAAATAGGGTTTCGGTTTAATTCCAGCTTTAAATCATGTCTTCGTATGCACTGGTACATACTGTTATACTACTTCTGTTTAGCCTGATTACGGAGAGTCTCGTTGTCAGCACTGTTAGAATTGTTGCGGGGTTGGGGGCAGGTTCTTGCGGAGGGGTATCACGGGCGCGCGCGCGTGTGTCTGTGTTGTGTGTGTGTGTGTGTGTGCGTGCATGCTGATTGTTCGGGCCCGCGGGGCAGTGTTGACGAACGCCGGCGATACTAGTCTGCAGAGGGTCTTTGCTGTTTTCTGGAGCTTTGTTGTAATAACTATCGTAAGGATTCCTAATCCCTCTGCCTAGACTCGATACCGCTTACACCCTAAACCCTACGGTAAACCCTAGCCCTAAACCTTTTGGGTAGTCTTCATTTCAACAAGTTGCTACATTATGTAGCCCCTAAACCCTAAACCCTAAACCCTACACCCTACACCCTAAACCCTAAACCCTAAGGCCCTAAACCCTTAAAGCTAAAGCCTCGCCCTTTTCGCATCCTTAGAGGCCCTGGCTGCGGCGGTCAGCGCGGAGGAGTCTTCGGCCCAATCTTTGGAGAGGGAGAGAAGCCACCTGCAGGCGACAGGGGACCGGGATAAGGGGGGAGCTCGGGTTTCGGATTTAAGGGTTTAGGGTTTCGGATTTCAGGGTTGAGGGTTTAGGGTTTCGGACTTTAGGGTTTAGGGTTTCGGATTTAAGAGTTTAGGGTTTGGGGTTTAGGGTTTCGGATTTAAGGGTTGAGGGTTTCGGATTTAAGGGTTGAGGGTTTCGGGTTTAAGGTTTCGGATTTCGGGGTTTCGGATTTAAGGGTTGAGGGTTTCAGGTTTGGGCTTTCGGATTTAAGGGTTGAGGGTTTGGGGTTTAGGGTTTCGGATTGAAGGGTTTAGGGTTTCGGATTTAAGGGTTGAGGGTTTGGGGCTTAGGGTTTCGGATTTTAACGTTTAGGGTTTGGGGCTTAGGGTTTCGGACTTAAAGGAGGGTTTTGGGGCGAATTCGAGGACAATCCTTCAATCCTGAACCCCTCAACCCCTAAACCCTAAACCCAGATTTCAGGCTTTCATTTTCAGGTGTGTCGTCGTCGGATCTTGAGGTTTGCTTCGACGAAGGATTGCAGCACAACCATGTAACCCACGCCTGGCCGAACACCCCAACCACCTGCTCCACTCCTGTGGCCGCGGCCTCAAGCCCAAATCCCGGAGCCTCCACAAAAACGCCACTGAGCTTTCAAACCAAACCAGACGGGAGAGTTTCATCAAGTAAGGGGTCTTGGTATAAACCCCGAAGACTATAGGATCTTGGTGTAGCGACCCCGCAGTTAGCAAGCGACCCCTCGTTTTCTGACCACCCCGACATTTAGACAAGTTTAGGGTTTAGGATTTAGTGATGTACTCTATTTTTTCACAGAGGCCCGATACCCAAATTAAAAATACACCCACACCCCCAGCACCGAAAGCAGCAACAAAGCTGTCATCCTGAACTCCTGATTCTTAATCCTGCGTCTTCCATCTAATATTTCTACGCACATTAAACTTAACAAAGGAGTCTATTATGACTGGTAAGTATTGCGTAGTGTTTAGCATTCAAACGTGAATATCATATTGATCTTGTCGTCTTCGGTCTTAAAGGACAATAGGAGGGACCCCTAGAAGGGACCCCTAATCCAAATACCCTATATATCCCTTATCTACCATTATCTGCCTAAACCCTAAACCCTAAACCCTAAACCCTAAACCGTGGCCCTTACATAGTCTCATAGAGCCCCTATAGAATCCCAAGGGTCCCTCCTTTAGTCCCTCCTTTAGTCCCTTGACCGTCGGCGAGGAGTTATAACCATACTTATAACTACCCCGAAACCCTAAACCCTAAACCCAATAGAACCCTTTAAAGGAACCCTTAAAGGAACCCCATAAACCCCACTTATAACTACCCATGAACCTTCAAGTATTGTCGTCTTCTGCCGGCAAGGGACCCCTAATCCAAATACTCTATATAACCCTTATATACCCCTTATATAGTCTCACAAAGCCCCTAAAAAACCCAAAGGTCCCTTTTAGGGTCCCTCCTTTGGTCCCTTGATTGTCGGCCAGGAGCGCCTCAAGCTCTTCAAGACCAGTGCCTTGAAATCCTCCAAGGAGCTCGACGAGGACACGCTTGGGGGATCTGGAAAAGAGTCTTGAGGGTTTAGGGTTTAGGGTTTGGGCGCTGGCCGGCACCTCAGTCCGTGCTGAAAAGGGTTTAAGGTTTAGGGTTTAGGATTTAGGCCCATTTAAGCATTTAAGGGTTGCTATACGGTTTCCAATAGGGCTTAGGTGTTTTTTTCGAAGGCAGTAGTACTGTAATGAGGTTTTAGACATGTGTTCGAGAAGGGTTCATGAAGGTTGAATATGTTCTGGAAAGGTTTTAGAGTGGGTCTTGAGGGCTAAATGAGGATGTAGTGGTGGGTCTTGTTGGTGGCTTCGAGATGCGAGGGTTCTATGCCTCTTTGGGTTCTTCGGATGTCGGATGTTTGGGGGGTAGGGGACCAGTGGACCGCTCTAACACTCTACCAGACGATACAAGCAACAGCCAAAGTCCCGAAAGCCGAAGCCGTTGACTCCCACACCGCTAAGACACGTTAGCCCCCTGAAGTCGTAACCCGAATCCCAAGCCTCAAGCCCGGAACCTCAACCGTGACACCCTAAACCCTAACACCCGAAACCCTAAACCCCCTAAACCCCTAAACCCGAAACCCCTAAACCATAAGACTCAAAAAGCTTCGATTTCAAGGAAGAGGCCGCCGAGGAGTCCATACGTGCCCGCCTGGCGGAGAAGCAGCAGGGACAGGAGCAGCGAAGCCAGGCCCTCTTGGGCTGTGGTTTAGGGTTTAGGGGTTTAGGGGTTAGGGTTTCGGGGCTTTCGAGATTCAGGCTCGGGGTTTGGCAGTTGGGGCTTGCTGGCTTTGTAAGATTTCGTCTACAGGAAGGGATGACAACCTTACTTCTGGTCTCTTGCAAGAGTCTTGAGTTGAAAGGCTTCGGGCTGGTACGGTTTAGGTCAAGTTTCGGTGTGAGAGTTGTGAGAATCAACCGTTAAGACGCCTCCAAATCAGATGCTCATCCATTTATTTCACAAGGCCGCTCAGGTTTAGCATCTTGGGTTGCCGCAAGTCTTCGTTGCGTGGCTCCATCTTACATTGAAGGGGGACGGCTGTAATGCAGCTGCCTTCCCCGGCCCGACCCCACAGAACCAGGCCCCACATCTCACTAACCTCACCATCATCGTGATCATCACTCACCATGGTCACGAGGATATTGTTACTATGATGCTCATCATTTGCCCAAACTTTCCTAATGCTTCAACCCTAAACTTTATACGTGCACCCTAAACAAACTCCAGAGCCGAACGCCGGACTGCGCCAGGCGATGCAGCACTGGTTCCAGTCGGAGGAGCATACGCTCGAGGTGGGAATTTGTGTTGCCTGTTACTCTGCGTCAGACACTATAGAGCTGATGGGCTGAGGGTCTAGGGTTTAGGGTTTAGTGTTTTGAGTCCGGGTTCAAAAATGGTCTCTAGGCTTTGGTAGAGCCCTTTTGAGCAGCCCTAAGCCTGCCACACACACGAAACTCTCTTTGCCAAGCTTCCTTGCTTGAAGAAACGGTCAAACTCGCAGGTGGCTCAACGCCAGCTAGACTTCGACGAGAAGAACCTGAGCCAGCGGTCTTGCAAATGAGGGTGATATCGCTCAGTCGCGCTCAGAGAGCCCAATACCCCTTAATTGAGGAATATTGCTTAAACCATCATATGAAGCCCCTTATGATTTAAGGTATATATTCCTTCATTAAGGGGTATTGGGATCTCTGGTGGAAGCAGCAAGCATAGGCTAACCCCACA